GGTATTAGATGTCAATGATAATGCTCCCATTTTGACATCACCAACCCCACCTCGTTTCCGCCCTTACCACTGCCCCAGAGACCTCGCAGATTTCCTCATGTCCCCCCTTGCCTTCCCAATACTCTTACCCTTCCTTCAGATATCCCCTGCCTTCTATTTCTGTCATTTCCTCATCGACCAGCCTATCATCGCTCCCCTTCTCCTCCNTCTTCGTTATCTGGACAATGTCTTCGGACTTTGGGAGGGCTCCGAAGCATCCTTAATAGCCACCACAAATAAAATTAAAATATACACTTAGCCTGCAACAGATTCCCTTTCTAGATGCAGTGGTCTTCTTTACAAATGAGAACGAAGGACATAAACGTCTATCTACTAAAGTTTATTTAAAAGCAGCTATCATCCCAAACATACTTATCGCTCATCATTAAGTCACAGTTAATCCGTTTTCGTCGCATTTGTTCCCTCCCAGTCCATTTAGAGGAGGCCACCAAAACCTTGTTTGACGCACTTTTACCCCGTGGTTACTCTAAACGCTTTTTGCGCACCATTAAAAGGGAGGTAGCTGAGCAATTCACAGTGGGTGGTACCCACACGCCCAAATGTATGTGCCGCTTCTGAATTACTCAAACAATCTTTCAAGAGACGCAATTCTATGCATTGAAGCTTTTAATGGCATGGTGGCAAACTCCATTAGATCTTGGGAGCCGCATGCCACCCACCTCCCAAAGTTGCCGTCCCTCCTCTTTTACACCGTTAGGGACAACATCCATTGGGATCCCAATACAGCACAAGCCATGATGCACCATTGGATAAACAATTTGCGTTTACATTAGGGCCATCAAGTGCAGAGCTGCCTTCCACTCCTTCGCTATCTAATATAACCAATCTCTCGTCCTTTCACCTGTCAATCCCTCCACCTCACCCGTACCCCAACCCTCCCCACCTCCTCAGGTCAACCTAGTTGACCTTACTTCCCCCTCACCTCCACCCAACTCCCAGTCCTCCCCTCCCAAGAGCTTCCCCAGCAACCGCCAAATTACCAACGAGGTCCACCATTCCAACGTCTCAGTCAGTTTTCCCGATAACATTCTTTCCCAATCCTCTACAGGTGTTGCCGGTTCCCTATTGGACCATGCTGGCGCCTGGGACCAGACAAACTTTGTACTCCATCCCACAGAGGGGCCGCCGATGATGAAAGTTCATCCTAAGGTCCACCACATCGTACAAGTCCATTCTGAGCCCCCCTCTGGCCAGTCTGTCGGGTCACTGCAGCCCAGCGGGTCCTCTGAGGGGACTGGCACACCATCCGACCTGGCGCCCAACCCCCACATCTCTCAACCTCCAAGGACCTTCACCCCCTCCTTCAACCTCACCCTTTCCCCGGTCTACCCCTTCCTCTTCTCCCTCTCATCCGCCACTTCCCCTCTCTAGTATCCCCCCCTACCTTACCCCTGGTCCCCGTTCCCTCTTCTTCAAACCAACCAGCTCCACTTCCCCAACCCAGTACCACCCCACAAAAGAAGGCACAGGACTGGTCCCTGGCCGGCTCTAAACCCATCCGGATACTGGGAGACTCCAACATCAACCGCATACCAACCCCACCCTACAGCTGGACTGCTATCCTGGAGCCAAAGTCTACCATTTCATGGAACTTTTCAAACGCACCCCTCCCATCCCAACAGCCAAGATTGTCATAATCTCTATCGGCATCAACAATAAAGACAATGACCCCGAACGCACCACCACTAAACATCTCAACAGTATGAAAAAATACGCTGCCAAGACCTTCTCCAGGGCTTCCATTTACATCCCCCTCATCAACCATTCACCCCACCTGACAAAAACCACAACACCCTGCCAACCATTTCACCGGAAACCTTCCGGACTGGCCAGCACAACATTCATTGGACTCCCCCCACAGCCCAGCTCATCCTGGACTCCTGGTGCAGGGAGTTACATTTCTAAATACCTCCGAACCTACCCCGGAAAAACACATTAACCTACCCAACCCCCCAACTAACCGCACCAGCTCTCCCCTCGACCCTGACCAGAACCCTAACCTGGGGTGGAATTCACCCTCCACAGTTCTCAATTTATCCACCCTCTTTGTCCCCTCTGTAGTCCAGCTACAACTCCTACAGAGGGGACTCACCTTTGTCCCACGCCCCCTCCGCCATGACCGAGAGGAACTTCAAAGGGATCTACACCAATACCACAGACGTCTCAAAATCGTAGATTATTTCCACACCAAACCCTGCACCCAACAGTCACTCTTCACCTTCCCCTCCAACTGGGAACCACTACTCACTCAAGTCAACCACAAAACAAAACAAATCATAACCAATAACCAATAACCGGGCCCTGCAATCCTTCCGACCACCGACAGATATCCCAGATAATCTATCGGTGGACGAACGCAGGGCCCTAACCCAACTCAATAAAAACCAACACATAGTCATCAAACCGGCCGACAAAGGATCGACACCACTAAATCACAGAAGCACAGAGACAACTCAAAAACCCACTCCATTACAAGCCCATCCCGGACACCATACAACCCCAGACACAACTCCAATTCAGACCGATAATAGAAACACTGTACAAACTCAAATTCATTTCCGCCAAGCAGAGGGACTTCCTATTCGGACCTGATGCACCCCGCCTCCGCCAGTTTTATCTACTCCCAAAGATCCATAAAGACCCTTCCACCTGGACCATTCCCTTTGAAGTTCCTCCCGGCAGACCCATCGTATCCGACTGCAGCAGCACCACCTACAACACCTCACGGTACATAGAACATCATTTAGGCCCACTTTCCACCAAACACCCCAGCTACCTCAAAGATACATATCACTTTCTCCAGATCACCAGACCCATGGTCGTTCCCACCCAAGCCCATCTGTTTACCATCGACATAGACAGCCTATACACCGACTTAGGACTCCTTTCTGTTACCTCCATCCTCGCCAAATACCCAGACCATAAACGACCGGACAAGCACTTACTTTTAATGATCAGCATTACCTTCAAATCCACGGAACGGCCATGGGTCAGTGATTCGCCCCCTCTTATGCGAGTATTGACATGAGCGAATGGGAGCGAGAAGCACTGGCCAAGTGCACCCACTCCATCCCTGTACCGCCGGTTCCTAGATGGCATCATCGGCATCTGGCCTCACGACATCTCACTCTTCCCGCAGTTTATAGACACCCTTAACAGCCATCACCCCACCATTAAGTCAAATACACCATACATGAACATACTTTTAACTTTCTAGACACCATAGTTTTCTTTCAACCCATTAACACACAAATGTAAAATTTACTTTTAAGTCAACAGACACACTTTTACACAAATCTAGATATCATCCCAAACACACTTTCCCAGGCATTATAAAATCCCAAATCATTCGTTTCCACCGCATCTCCTCCAAACTGTCTGACTTCCACCACTGCGTCAGAATCCTCTTTCACAGCCTGCAAACCAGAGGCCATCAAAACATTTCCTCCGCCATATTAAGGACGCCACCTTGGCCAGTCTCGCCCCCACTCGCTCTCCACCCCGTGGAAATCAGGTCACCAACCCGGAACAGTCTCCACTCCCAACTCCTCCTCCCCCTACCCACACTCCCACCCTGATTTCCCCTACCCGAACCAGGGTCTGCATCCCACCCGCTTCCCTCCCAACCCACTGGGACGTGGAGACTGCCCGGACCACTCCTCCTTGTTTTCCTTTCTTTTGAATGATTTTCCAATTTGGGATCAATAAAGTATAAATAATATCTTATTCACGTAAAAAGAAAAAAATTAAACTACATGTAATGAATGTACCAAATCTGAGGCCATGGTTCTCAGCAGGAAACCGATGGACTGTCCACTCCAAGTAGGGAATGAGTCCTTACCCCAAGTGAAGGAGTTCAAGTATCTCGGGGTCTTGTTCTCGAGTGAGGGAACAATGGAGCGTGAGATGGGTCGGAGAATCGGAGCAGCGGGAGCGGTACTGCAGTCGCTTTACCGTTGTGACGAAAAGAGAGCTGAGCCAGAAGGCAAAGCTCTCTGTCTACCTGGCCATTTTCTTCCTACCCTCACCTATGGTCATGAAGGATGGGTCATGACCGAAAGAACGAGATCGCGGGTACAAGCGGCCGAGATGGGTTTTCTCCGCAGGGTGGCTGGTGTCTCCCTTAGGGATAAGGTGAGAAGTTCAGTCATCCAGGAGGGACTCAGAGTTGAACCGCTCCTCCTTCACGTCGAAAAGGAGCCAGTTGAGGTGGTTCGGGCACCTGGTTAGGATCCTTCCTAGGGAGGTGTTCCAGGCACGTCCAGCTGGGAAGAGACCAAGGGGTAGGCCTAGAACCAGATGGAGGGATTATATATCTTTGCTGGCCTGGGAGCGCCTTGGGATCCCCCAGTCAGAGCTGGTTGATGAGGCCAGGGAAAAGAAAGTTTGGGGCTCTCTGGAACTGCTACCTCCGCGACCCGACCACGGATAAGCGGGAGAAGATGGATGGATGGATTATCATATCCCAACATGCATTGCGGCTAAAACATCCAATCAACGANATATACACCTGAAAATCAGCAGGAGAGGACTCTTTAAAGTAGAGACACTACATACTGATATACACCTGAACATCAGCAGGAGAGGACTCTTTAAAGTAGAGACACTACATACTGATATACACCTGAACATCAGCAGGAGAGGACTCTTTAAAGTAGAGACACTACATACTGATATACACCTGAACATCAGCAGGAGAGGACTCTTTAAAGTAGAGACACTACATACTGATATACACCTGAACATCAGCAGGAGAGGACTCTTTAAAGTAGAGACACTACATACTGATATACACCTGAACATCAGCAGGAGAGGACTCTTTAAAGTAGAGACACTACATACTGATATACACCTGAACATCAGCAGGAGAGGACTCTTTAAAGTAGAGACACTACATACTGATATACACCTGAACATCAGCAGGAGAGGACTCTTTAAAGTAGGGACACTACATACTGATATACACCTGAACATCAGCAGGAGAGGACTCTTTAAAGTAGAGACACTACATACTGATATACACCTGAGAAATAGCATTGTATGTCCTCTTTAAGAGAATCTCAAAATCAAACAAACCACTGATTGCTACCTTTTTGTGACGGTGAGCACAAAGTAGTTTGATCAGCGAGGCTGATGTGAATCCACCTGCAGAATAATCTAGTAAAAACCAGGAGAATAAATAAGCCACTCACTCAAGCTCTGTTTCAGCCCCGATGCAGAGTGCACGATGACGTTCAGGAAGCCGTACAAACCGGAAGATTCATCATCTGTGGAGGGGGGGGGGGGTTCACATTAGGATGAGATACAAACCTGCAGGTACAGCTTGTCAACAGTACAATACATTATGAGTGGTACCTTCTTTATTCATGGTCATTGGGATGGAGTGCACCGTCTGCAGCTTCACACACGAGTTGGTGAGCATCTGCAGCTCCAGAGAGGTCAGGGAGAAGCTCTTAAAACCTGCAGGACACAACGGAGGGAGATACAAGTTTATATAACAGTTTCATGCAAATATGTTCTTATGGATGGAAATCAAAATGCCTGAGTTAATGTCTATCTTTGCATAAAATACATGAGAAAGGGATTTGATCAATTCATCAAGATATGGCAACTGCCCACCAGCTGAATGCCATCCAGTCGTTTTTAGTAGAGGTATTAAACAAAACTAAACACAACATGGACAACATAGACTTCTGTAACGCCACTATGTGGTTTAAAACTTCAAGCAAGACACACCCTTATATTAACACTGCGTCTGTAAGACTCACACTTCTTCTGCTGCTCTCGGACGATCTCCCTCCACTCGGCTCGCTCGTAGTCCGAGGAGATGAGGAACATGAAACCCTGGAAGACATTAAGAGAGGATTTACTGTGGTTTATTTTACTGCACACTCATGCTGTGGTGTCCCGCTTCCTACCAGCAGAGGGCAGCAGACACCAAAGTTAGAAGTGATGGCTCAAGATATTCCCACTGATGTTTACAGGGATTAAACACCTTTGAATATCTCTCTTTTTAAAACCCTCTGAAGGCACTTGTCTTATGAACGTTTGGGCTTGTTTCCTTCCATAACGTGTGCTCACCTTTCCGTTTCTGCTGGCCACTCTGAAGGCCATGGTGGGCGACATGAGGAGCAGCAGAGACTCCTGCTCCGACAGCTTCTTCCTCAGGCGCTCCATCACCTTCACTCCTTTGGTGGTCCTCTGCAGAGCAACAGAACCAAGTTGATGTCACACAAGGTCCAGTATTTTATTATTATTTTACAGTTTCATTATTTGATCAAGTGTATTTACTGTATAGTGTTATTTAATCATGTTTATTGATCCGTACGGACTCTAAAGCCCTCTGAGACAAATGTAATATTTATGATATTGGGCTATATAAACATAATCTGATTTAATTTGACCTTTCACAAACCATAAACTCCACCTTATGTGTTGGTGATGATTGAGTTTCTGTGCTTGCTCACCTTCTCTCTCTGGATGTCGTTCTTGATCTGTGAGATTCTGATCTTCATGGCGTCGATCTCGTCCTCCGGCAGCAGCGGGACGGGCGTGGACTCGCAGTCCTCGATGTTCTGGAAGGTCAGGTCGGCCAGCGGGATGAACCACTTACAGTCGTACTGCTGCCCTTTGCTGGGGAGGACGAAGGTTTTAATATAAGGCTGGACGATTAATCAAGTGTTAATGCAGGAGCTTGGTTACCGCAATTAAATGGACATGATCCACGGCCCCTAATTCTTAATCTTTGTCTGACAGTTTTTTTGTGTTTGTTTTAAATAAATGTAAGTTATTATTATTATTATTATGATCAACGAGTATATTAAAGTTTAAAAAATGTGTGTTCTACTCTAAAAACTAGGAAACATTAGGATAAATTGTATTTTAAGTCTTGATTTTGCCGCAAAAATGTGCAGATTTGCAAGAATAAAGCACAAAGGGAAAGCAGTAATCCATTTAATATAAATGTCAAATAAAAATGATAAAAAATAAATAATACAAAAAATTATAATAATAATAATGTTCTCAAAATTAAACAAAATCATGGAGCCCCAGTAAAATAAAAATATGTATTTAAATGTATATTTTTATTTATTTATATAATTTTAAAAAATATATATTTTAAACTTTTTTAAAAGCAGAGGCTCTTCCAGGTCACAGCCTCCCTCTCCCCTCCCAGGACCCCTCTCCCTCTCCCCTCCCCCCAGGACCCCTCTCCCGGACTCTAGACTCACCCTGCGGCCTGCTTCTTCAGCTTGGTGCAGAGCAGCAGGTCCGTGAACAGGAAGACGTGACGCAGCTTCCTGGATCCCTCCACCAGCTCCACCATGAAGCGATCCCTCAGCAGCTGACGGTGCTGCAGCAGGAAGAGAGGAGAAACGTCAGGTCACTGGCACTAAAACACTCCCAGATACACACCCAGACATTATGATTTATCAACTTAGTAATAACAATACTTATTTTATCTTATATTTCACATTCACTCAGCAGCTGACGGTGCAGAAGCAGGGAGAGAGGAGGCCCGTCAGGTCACTGGCAGTATATAACTCCAGTGACACCAGTGTGTATATCGTATTATAAAACGGATTAGTCAAATCAAGCAATCTGATTGGTTCTTAGCCGTGATATAATGAGCGTATATCACGGGTAGAATTACTTTTCACAAGTCATGTATCCCTCCGCGTCTGAGAAAAATCTACAACTGTTACATTACGTCCTTGAGGAAACTAACTAACTAACAAAGCTTAAAGAGCAACTTCCAGGCTAAAGACACCTGTGAATAAATGTGTAGGAAAATGATGAATACACTAGATTTTCAAAAAAATATACAGAAATATACACTACAGTGACATCTGGCGTCGTTTTTGTAAGAAATGTTCACTTCCGCATAAAAAAGCCTCGGCACGTGACCTCCCGCGTGTGACGTAACACGGGGGAGAGCGGCCGGTGTAACGTATTAATAAACATGGATCCCAATGCTAGTTTCGACACAGAAGACACAGAAGAAGTTGAACATGAATATTCGAATGCCTATGACGGACCACAACCTTATAATTATGAGCCTGCTAGGCGTCCAAGAGACCAGGAGCAGCCAAGGATTAGAAGAAATAACGGCCATCGGAGAGAAATTGAGCTGTGGTGTGAGGAGGACCAGTGGAGAACAGAGCAGATGTCTTGGTGAGTGACCGGCGTTAGCTACACAATGTTAGCTAACGTCACATCACAACATTGTAAAGTTAGCTATCATATATCAGGCTATAACTAAAGTAGCATTGATAATATAGTAACGTTACTGGAAGGACTGTTGATACTGATCCATAACAGAAACTAATGCGCAAGTATCAGCCGTGTCTCGCGTTACCTAATGCAACTCCACACTACGGTGCTGTGTACCGGAGGNCCTTTTTACTGTGGACTCGATGTCCTGACAGGCTGGTATTTGTGCAACCTGCACAAACACAATACTGCACCATGATTACAAATGGTGAAATTCAATGTAAAACTACCGAAAAATACCAGCTCCTTAAAACACAACCGCTCTACTCAACGCAACTCTACTATACCCGCGGTCAGAGAGCGCAATGGAAACATGTAAGGTTAACTCCGACCTCCGGGGTGGCCTCACTACGGAGGAGTGGATTGAGCAGTGCCTATCTCCGGAAATCCCCAAACGACCTTAAATATACTTTAAGTGCTATGTGTTATAGTACAATGTGCACACTTCTACTACATTTCTATCTTATGTTTAAATACATTTTTATACTTTATTTTATATTTCACATGTTGCTTTCCTTTCTTGTTTATATAAATATCTTTATTTTTTAAATATTTGTATTGGATATTCTTACTTTAACTTTTAATGTTTATACAGTATAAATATTTTTATTTTATTTTATCTTTTTATTGCATTTTTATTTTATTCTAAAATGGAGCAACCACATTTTTCTCTTAATTCCTCGGTTGTCTTAACCAATGAAATCCCCTTTTCACGGAACCAAAAGCAAACACTAAGAACTGCTGAAAGTACAGAAACTATTTGAGGTTTTAAAATGTAAACTGCTTTAATTTGAAGTTCACAAACAAAGATCTTTGTGCTGATGTGTGTGAGTTATCTGAAAGCCTGTGGTGTGAAGCTGCAGTCAGATGAATGCTACCAAACCACATGGAGGAAGTAAACTAAATAAATGCAAACAATAAATCATTTGTGATCAAACTAAAACAAGGCAGTAGGCGTTTCTTCAACTTGCAGCATCTGACACAACGATGCATGTTAGCATCCCGTTAGCATTTAGCATGCCTGTGACTCTCATTTTTCATGTTGTCGTTCATTTAGCAATACTTTTTCCTCCCTTTCCTCCAATAATGGATGTCTGTGGCCTGTAATCCTGGTTGATCCGAGCTGCCTGAGGGTGGAAACATGTGATGACATGAGCTCATCCTGCAGCAGCGTGCAGATCAATTCCCCCCCGCCTTTTGACCTCAGGCTGTTTACAGTGACACTGAATACATGTGAGCCCCAACCAGTGTGACAAAACAACAAGGAAATCACTGCAGCGTGGCGTTCCCTTCTCTGTTTTCTGAACACTGGCCCTCGATCCTGCTCAGCACTGTCCTGGTTTCACTCTGCAGGGTGTCATCATAGACTGTATATATAAAGGGTGTCATCTGCTTATTGTGCTGTGAAACCAGCATGACCATGAATATAGAGTCAATAATCCAATGGAAGCTGTAACTGAACAGTATCAGTGGCGGAAGAAATATAATTTTGTTCTATGCCAATAGTAGTTGAGAAGCAATACTAAAATGTGTATTCAAAATCTTACTTCACCAAAAGTACCAAAGTGTTGCCATCAAAATAAACCTATATTACCAAAACTTTAAGTACTTGTTGTGCGTAATGGCCCACATCAGAATCATATATATTAACCCTTAAACGAGCAAGTACATATAGCTTTGATGATATTTGTTACATTTCACCCTGTCTTTAAACCCATTTAACCATTATTACACTGTTATTACACCCCTATTAAACACCTGCATTTCAACGGTGTTATGACACCCATGTTACACATTAATACACCCATTTTAGACCCAAATGAGACCCATATTACACTGTAATTAAACAACTGTTATTACAACCGTATAACTCCGTAATTTCACCCATGTTACACATTAATACCCCTATTCTAGACCCATATTACACAGTTATTACACTGTTATTACACTATTATTAAACAGTTATTAGACCCATATTGCACATGGACACAGTCTGTCAAATGACTGTTTCACCTAGAATACAGAAACCATTTAAGGGTTAAATCACTGGATTATGAGTATTGATTGCCCTTAAGAACTTGAGTAAATGAACTTCATTAAGTTACCACTGCTCACTACTGGGAACGGGAAGTGCTTTTGTTTTTTCTTACGTACTAAAATAAGACACTGAGCTGAAGCTAAACAAACTGGTTGAAATGCTTTTGGTAATTACAAGGAAAACATCAACAATGGGTGCATGTAGTCACGTCCACCAACAACTCCCTGTTTCAGACCGGCTGCCATGTGCTGGCATGTTCTCTGTTACTCTCCTGACTTCCCATTTATGTATAAAGGAACTTTCCCTTTGATTTCATATCCCATATCCCAGAGCCAGTTCCAGGGAAAAAGAGCGGAAGTTCTCAGTCAGGTCATCTGAATCAGACCCTTACAAATGTTGTGTTTAGGGGGGTCAGGAAACGTGGGTAATTCAGTACACCCCCACCCAGAAGGCTGGTGAGACACACAGTTTGATAAGCTAACCTGCAGGTCATTTCTGGGAAGCAGAGGTGGGAGGAGTACTCAGATCTTGAGTAAAAGTAGAAGTACTCAGATCTTGAGTAAAATTAGAAGTACTCAGATCTTGTACTTGAGTAAAAGTAGAAGTACTCAGATCTTGTATGAGTAAAAGTAGAAGTACTCAGATCTTGTACTTGAGTAAAAGTAGAAGTACCAGAGTGTAGGAATACTCTGTTACAGTAAAAGTCCTGCCTTCAAAATGTTCCTCAAGTAAAAGTAGAAAAGTATTCTCATCAAAATATAGTGAAAGTAGCAAAAGTAAAAGTAGTCATTGTGCAGATTGGACATTTCAGAATAATATATATGATATGTAGTCAGAGGTGGGAAGCTACTAAGTAAGTTTATTCAAGTACTGTACTTACATGTAGGTAGCATTTTGAGATACTTGTACTTTACTTGAGTATTTCCATTTGATGCTACTGTCTACTTCTACTCCTCTACATGTATTTAATACCTTTAGTTACTTCACAGATGTGGATGAATGATGTGAAATATAATCAAGTGTTAAATCAGACTTTAGTTCCACCTGGAGTAAATCCACCAGCTACCCTGCAGTATACAAAGTCATTCAAACTAGCTGCACCTTAAAGGCACAC